ATTATTGAACCCCATTTTCATTTTAGTGAATTCTAAACAAGGTATCATAACTACACCCACTTGTGCGAAAAGTAGCGGTAACTATTAAACTAAATGTTCCTAATTTTTGGAGATTTTTCGCTAGTATAAATATAAGTATGGTTTTTGAAGGTTTTTTACAAAAAGACAAGTAGACTTAGAGAAAATCGGGTGGTAATATGGAACCTTACTCTATGTTTTCAAAAAATGCTTTAATGTATCCAAAAATAAATAAGAATGTACAAAGAATGTTAAATAATTACAAAATTATTTACTCCAATGTATTTTATCGAAAAAATGCTTTTATAATAGAAAAATATGACTTCCATTAACAATATACTTGTATATTCCAGCAGCTTTTTTTCGATATTCTCAGGAAGAATTGGCTTTCTTCCCAGTCTTTTTCACAAATTGCTCCAGACGAATGTTTACTTGCAAAGAGAGAGTTCGGAGGAGTTGGGTTCCATATTAAAATCACCAATGGGGTCCATATTAAAAGAACCAATGGAATTGCCATCTTGAATTAACTTATGTCTGTCAAGATCAAATTTTAAAAAACGTGAACATCACACAGATTAATATATACCCCTAAGTCTCTGGAACGGAATACATGCACCAGTGAACTTACAACTACACGATTTATATTTTAAAAATAATTAAATTCACTTAGCATTCAAAACTTTAGAATTTTGAAAAACACAAATTTGCTGATTCACTACGGACAACCGTTTAACTGAAGTTAATTAATTAAACGGGTTTTTGCTATGGATGTCTGCCTAGTGCATTCAGCCACATTCAGCTACAGTTCGCCTTTATTATCAATTCGAAATGGAGTGGTTCCATAATACCACCTTTTTCTCTATTTTTTTATGTAATATGTGATTCTTTAGTCAACAAGTTGATTAGAAGAAAAACTGCATATGCATCTAATAACATTTTTTATATTTTTATTTACTGAAACAGATGTACACAGTGCAGATTATTTTGAGATAATAAATAACATGCATAAAACAGATATTTACATTCGTAACGAGTGGCTTCAGTTTAACGCTATTTTAAAAGATAACTACATAGAAAAGAATCCCCAGAAATGTAATATTTTATTACAAATAATAATATAATATTAATCTTGTCCAATTTTTTCCTTTTTCAGAGCCTTACAAATGTATGGCTAATATTGATGTATCTGCACATTAATTAATATCAGTTAAAATAACCTTAAAATTTAGCCATTAAATTTTTTCATATAAATTTATCGTGAATACGGTCATCTTCTGTAATATTTTCAGTTGTTTTTTTATTAAACAACTGAAAATATTACAGAAGATGGTTATAATCACGATAAATAATTACCGGTTCTGGCTGAGTTTAATGCGTATGACCAAAAACTGAAAAAATCAAAAAGAAATGCAACAAAGGCTGTATGTCTTAAGAAAATATGTCATTATAATTGAAAAAAAACAAAAAGCAATTTATAAAAATCGCCATATTCGCTTGATCTCATTTATGTTTGTAATTCGACCAATTAATTAATTAACAAATTTATATTATGCGAAAACCCTCTCAAATTTGATAAGCTGAAAAATTATTACAGAAATTATATCAAAATATACTATGTGTATACATATATAAATATGAAGAAAGACAATAAATTGTTATCCACAAGATCTGAATTCAAAGTGTTTAAAATATATTTATGTGAATAATGTGAGAATACGGACGAGGGTCAAGGCCCTCTAATCGATCTGTTAGACCTGCTCACTTTGTCACTGGATGGCTTGTTTTTACAGAACCCTGAGTGGTAAGATTCTGTGCGGGGGTGTGCATAAGGAATAAATATTCGACTAAGAAGGTCATTGTTATAAAAATCAGCAATTTAATTGCAGAAGACCAAAACATCACAGACAAATAATATAATAACAAAACATAAAACATATGTCTAACCTAAGACTATAATCCGTCTGAGAGAGAAAGCTTATGTGAGGACCAGAAATTTCGTGTTATAAACTAATTTTTTTTTGTTTAATAAACTTTATAAAGACGGAACGAGAAAACAGAAAATTAAAAGAGAAAAAGGAAAAATAAAATCAATAAAATCCTCGATTCCCACGAGTTGGGTTCCTTGTTGAGATGAGTACATTTCTGTGTCACGATTGTGTCACCCGTCACCTCATTGGACCAAGAAGATCGTCATCGCTGACGAAATCGGGGAAAGGTTCGAAAAAGAGGACTTGATATAAAAGGGACAGGCACGATGAGTACGGGGGGTGGAAGTTATTATTGGTGTCTGTGTGTGCGCGCCGATCGTCTACCTCCCGCCGAGATTCCTGAATGTCAACTAACACCTCCTTCTTGCCTACAGAACTAGAAGACCTCAACACCTACTCAACTGAAAAGAACTGTTGGACCTTTTTTGTGCTGGACTTGATCAACAATACAACCTAAGGTATTTATCCTGCCCGCGCACTATTGTACGCTCTCTCTCTCTCCGCGTAAACTAAACGTGCACCCGGTCGTTAATTTGAAATAGAAATTTAATAATAACTGAACCCGACTCATGTAGTTCATGTTCGCATTTTATTCACTGATGTAAACTTAAGTTAGATTATATATAAATAAACGGTTGTTTATATTTAAAACTTCTGGAGTGCTGTTTCTTCCATTTTTCTCTCCGTTTCTCCATTCCGGGTCCAAACCGCGTACGCTACCGCTCGCGTGTCGTAAAGTCGCGATTTCCGAGTCCTGCGAGACTCGGTGGTGTCACATCCTGACGTGGTATCGAAGAGATACCGACCCTACGGTCACACTTACAATAAATCATATTACCTCGTGGGTCATTCTGGATGAGCTGATTTTGTGTAGGTCGACAGCTGATGCTAGACGTTAGAAGGAGGGGTCGTATGGCATGTTCTATTGAGGAGGAACTGCCCCGAATCTATTCAAGTCACCCTTTTTATCCTTGATTATTTCCCAATGTCTATTCCCAGAAATGCATCATCTAACAGGATGCATTTTTGTGTCATAGGACCGGGTGGTGTGCAAAATTTTTAGATAGAAGGTGGTGAGGAAGAAAGCCAAACATCCTAAATTCTTATTAAATGTTGCGTTATCGAGTATATTTGCAGGATGTTGAAGTTTGTAACCTTTTTAGGGAAAATTGATAAAATTTAGTAAAACATAAGTTAAATTATTTGTGTTGGTTTTATTAGGTTTATTTAGAGTGAACTTATAAAACTGACATTTCTAGAGTTCTTCCTTAAATATCTCTATAAAGATTATATGTGTAGTCCATCCAGATTATCACAATAATCAACAAAAACAAGAATAAACCAATGATTGCGATAAGTCTTTACTTAAAACTCTGCTTTTATAAAATAACTTTCTAAATTCAGGTGTGAGGCGATCATTTATAAAAAATATTATATTTTTCGATACTATATATACGTTATATTCGTGACTTCAAATTGTTCAACATGTTCATTTTTAAAAATATAAAAAATTCGCCTTAATTTCGAAATTAATATGACTTGTTTTACCAAACAAAGAATAACTGAACAAATCTTTAAGCCAGCGATTTCTTAATTATTCTATATTTTGCCTAACACTACTTAGTCTCAATTATTTATTTTGACATCGACACAATGTCGTACTGCAATTTTTAATTTATTTAATTTCACTTCAAATTAGTGGTGGCTTGCCCATGTAAATCATACTTTTAACAAAAGAGTGTGCTGGTTATCTATCTAATACCTTGCAAGAAAACATGTTTGAATTGAGATAACACGGCCTCCCGTCCATATCGATTTAACTCTCGACATTCCATGAGTCGAATCTATTAGTTGTCGATATTAAAAAACGACGAATGGACGAACAGACGGATGACAGTGGGTATTTATAAATCTACAATATTTTCAATTTTCAGCCAATAAATTATTTCGCAGTCAGTAGAGCAAGTGGTATTGTGACTAATGTTTAAAGGTGATATAAAAATTTCGTTTGTTACTTGGAAGCTTATATGTATCAATAATTCTAACAATAAGTTTCATAACTTGTGTTCAAAAACTTCTTTGTCTAAATCATCCTTATTCACTATCCGAATAGAGCTTCTGTAAAATAAATACGCAGAACTTTAATACCAAAAATATATTTATTTCGAAACCACGAAATTATTCGTTAAAATTCTGAAATTCTTTTCCATTTTCTATTATTAATTAAACGAAACCAGCATTTTGTATTTAATTTGTTTTCATTTATTATAATTGTTTTTTAAACATTGAACAGGAATTTATGAATACAGAAGTTCGCTTAAAGTTTTTACTTTCATTAATATCACATCAATTTCAAGAAGATTCTTTCGATCTCGATCATTTATTTTGTAAAAAAAAAAATAAACGTAAAGTGACAAAAATAATTTTGAAGAAATCAATTTAATTCCGAAGACAGCAATAAAACTCTTAAGTATTTATATAAAAAAGAAACTGAAATAAACTTGAATACTATGATACGCTACTTGTCTAGTCTTCTCAATGGTTAGTGAGCGCTAAGATTGGCTTTACTTTACTTCTAGACTTATTACACCATCACAGGACATCAAATTAGATTTAGAAAAACACTATTTTATTTTCAGAATGCATTTCGGACATAGAGTCCCTCATCAGCTATTTGCTACAAAATTAATAGGAGGTTAACAATTTTATAAAAAGGCCGTGATTGACAGAAATGAACAAAAATGTGGACTTACATTTGACATGTGGGTTCGACGCGTTGAACATTAATTAAAAGATTAAGCATACGATATACAAGATTTCTCGTTAAAAACGGTAATGTTGGTGCAATAACGTAATAATAAACAGAGGTACTGGTAAAACAGTAAAGTTATAAAAATATACATTGTTAACAAAATGATAAGTAAATTCACAGTAACACGAACAGAGTAAGAAGACGATTCGAAGTACATTCCAGGGTGACTGTCACCCTCACCCCTATCCGTTTTCACACCTCTCCCCTCCCCCCACGCCTCCTCTGGTCAAATATGCGTACCACGATTCATGTAATTTTTGGCCAGAGTTATTATTCATGATTTTCTCTTTGTTTTTAATTATTTCTAAGTGTTCGTACCATCTTCTTTTATAAGTATTTGGTTCCTTTCTAAGTATTTTGACAGTATCCTTTACAATCTGACAGCCTTCATTATTACAGTGGGCGGCTACAGCCGAGCTATCATTGTTGTGTGCTATGGCAGAGATATGTTCATTGAAACGGACCTTTAATTCCCTACTAGTTTCACCAATGTAAGATTTGGGTGTGGTACAGTCGCACTCAAATTTGTAAACAACGTTTTTTTGGTCCCATATGTTAGCTTTCCTGTTAGGTACGTTTATTTCCTTATGTAAGCTGTTGCGATGTTCGGGTACCAGAATAATATTATACTTAACTAATTTACTTTTGATTCTTTCAAAAATATTCGTAACGTAAGGAATTTTAAGGAATTTATAAGCAGTGTTGTCAATTGGTTGTTTGTGTGCATTAACATATTTTTTATTAAGCCAGTTACTAATCATGCGCTTGCTATAACCGTTCAATAAGTATGTTTTTATGATGTCTTCGATTTCATTGGATATATCGGTATCATATGTGGTACGTTGCATAATTTTATCCAAGTACATGTAGAAAGTATTCTTTTTTATATAAGTTGGTACTTCAGATGTAAAGTGTATGACGCTGTCAATAGTACAAGGTTTTTTATATTTTTTAAAGGTTGTTTTGTCTTTGTGTCTCGTGACGAGAATGTCTAAGAATGGTAACTGACAGTTGCATTCAGGTTCTAAGTCAAATTTAATGTCATTATCTATTTTATTTACGTGTTCCAGAATTTTATTCGCCTGTATGATGTTGTCATCATATATGAGAAAACAGTCGTCGACGTAACGGTACAGTTCTATTATACCCTTGATATTGACAACGTCATGATCAATATTGCACATACTTAATTCAGCAAGGATTGGTCCTATTATTGAGCCCATTGTAGACGCAGACATCTACAAGCAACTGTTGAATCAAAATACGTACATTGAACTGCATAATGATCCAACTAACCTTCTTAACAAAAAATTAAAAAAGGCAATTGTTAACCTTGAGAAACAAAATCTTATTAGCCAAACAGAAAAACATTTTATTCTCAATACTGAAAACAGAACACCCAAGTTCTCTTACAGGGTTAAAACCCATAAAGTTCCAGTCTCCTATAGACCTCTGGTAGATATAAAAGGATATATCTTTTATAATTTAGAACTTATTTTAAAAGAAAAACTAAACACCCTCGTTAAATCCCCTTATAGCATACAGTGCACTGACTACTTTATACAAAAACTCAAAACTTTAAAGTTCGAGCCCACCTACAGGATTGCCTCCTTGGACGTACGCAGCATGTATCCGTCCATTAAACGCAACAGAATATTAGCTACATTAAAAACCCAAAACTGTCAGCAATGGATCATAGATATGGTAACTCTTGTGTTGGAAAATAATTATTTTGTCAGCCAAAAAAGATTCTTTAGACAATGCGATGGTATCCCCATGGGCTCAATAATAGGACCAATCCTTGCTGAATTAAGTATGTGCAATATCGATCATGACGTTGTCAATATCAAGGGTATAATAGAACTGTACCGTTACGTCGACGACTGTTTTCTCATATATGATGACAACATCATACAGGCGGATAAAATTCTGGAACACGTAAATAAAATAGATAATGACATTAAATTTGACTTAGAACCTGAATGCAACTGTCAGTTACCATTCTTAGACATTCTCGTCACGAGACACAAAGACAAAACAACCTTTAAAAAATATAAAAAACCTTGTACTATTGACAGCGTCATACACTTTACATCTGAAGTACCAACTTATATAAAAAAGAATACTTTCTACATGTACTTGGATAAAATTATGCAACGTACCACATATGATACCGATATATCCAATGAAATCGAAGACATCATAAAAACATACTTATTGAACGGTTATAGCAAGCGCATGATTAGTAACTGGCTTAATAAAAAATATGTTAATGCACACAAACAACCAATTGACAGTACTGCTTATAAATTCCTTACGTTACGAATATTTTTGAAAGAATCAAAAGTAAATTAGTTAAGTATAATATTATTCTGGTACCCGAACATCGCAACAGCTTACATAAGGAAATAAACGTACCTAACAGGAAAGCTAACATATGGGACCAAAAAAACGTTGTTTACAAATTTGAGTGCGACTGTACCACACCCAAATCTTACATTGGTGAAACTAGTAGGGAATTAAAGGTCCGTTTCAATGAACATATCTCTGCCATAGCACACAACAATGATAGCTCGGCTGTAGCCGCCCACTGTAATAATGAAGGCTGTCAGATTGTAAAGGATACTGTCAAAATACTTAGAAAGGAACCAAATACTTATAAAAGAAGATGGTACGAACACTTAGAAATAATTAAAAACAAAGAGAAAATCATGAATAATAACTCTGGCCAAAAATTACATGAATCGTGGTACGCATATTTGACCAGAGGAGGCGTGGGGGGAGGGGAGAGGTGTGAAAACGGATAGGGGTGAGGGTGACAGTCACCCTGGAATGTACTTCGAATCGTCTTGTTACTCTGTTCGTGTTACTGTGAATTTACTTATCATTTTGTTAACAATGTATATTTTTATAACTTTACTGTTTTACCAGAACCTCTGTTTATTATTACGTTATTGCACCAACATTACCGTTTTTAACGAGAAATCTTGTATATCGTATGCTTAATCTTTTAATTAATGTTCAACGCGTCGAATCCACATGTCAAATGTAAGTCCACATTTTTGTTCATTTCTGTCAATCACGGCCTTTTTATAAAATTGTTAACCTCCTATTAATTTTGTAGCAAATAGCTGATGAGGGACTCTATGTCCGAAATGCATTCTGAAAATAAAATAGTGTTTTTCTAAATCTAATTTGATGTCCTGTGGTGGTGTAATAAGTCTAGAAGTAAAGTAAAGCCAATCTTAGCGCTCACTAACCATTGAAATAAACTTCATGAGCAATCTATCTATACGTGTGAGATCTTCCTTTGAAAAATTGCAAATTCATTTGATATATTATGTGAGAAATTATTGTCTACTTGTAATAATTATTTTATGTCTAACAAAATTTCATTAACAACTAAATGCATATTTGATTGAATAAATGATGTTTATTGATTAGATATTTTATTAAAAATTTCTAATAATTTAAACATTTATAATAAGCATAAACAACAAAAAAATAATTTTGATAATTTAGTCAAAAAAGAATATGTAATATAAAATCTTTTTGATAAATTTATTTATTAGACCGTCTTTTGTTCATTTATTAATAAACTATCGTTCAGAAGAATGTTTATCTGAATGAAAAGGCTGCTTGTCAGCTTCTGACATTTCCAATCTTCTGGTCAATCCTCCTTCTCTCAACAATAGCAATGTGTTGGCCGCTTGTACTTCGTTTTCTCTTTCTTGCCATTCCTGTGAAAAAAAAATGTTTTTGTGACAAAATTAAAATTTTCTATTAATTTTAAATTGTTATTTCCATAAAAATTTTTAAATGAAAATATGAATTTCGTTAATACTAAAAAGTTACTGTATATGAATTTTAAGGAAATTTTTTATTTTTTTTTTAAATTTAACAAGAAAAAGTTCTGAGACACTTTCTACACATAACTGAAGATAAAAGTTTTTGATAAATTTAAATACATTTATTTCTTTTACAGGCAATTAATTTCCAAATGATTTTTTTAAGTTTGATGGATAACTGTGACTATATCAATGTTTAAAACATTTATATTTTTCATAAATTTTAAAATATTGTTTAAATGTTTCATAAATATCTTGAAATTTTCCGTCTTTTTGTTGTAACAAAGTTTCTTATGGATGTAAACAAATAATAAAAAATTGACTCAAAAATATAATTTTGCTTTATTAATATTAGTACGATATAATGAATATAATAAAACTACAAATAATCTGCTTCGAGTTAGTATTAAATTTATATGTAGGAAAACGCCAGAAATGTTTTTTGAGATAAAATATACAACTATAGTAATTTTTACTGCTTATTCAAATATGACAAACATCCTGTTATTGTAAGATGCATGTTTTTATAAGTTTTTTTTTCCTTTTGCATGTGATAAAATCACGTTTATCGGTATCCTGTCACTTCGAAATTCACCTTTGGTACACGAGAAATTTAAACTTTTTATGTTTGCTTACGAAGAGACTAGTGAATGTACCAAATATCATTGTGTAAAAATTGATAATTACATACCAAAAACAATTTCCGGTATACAACTGTGAAAATTTCCCTCATTCGTTCCCAAATGACTACGCAAAAATTTCAGTAGGTAATATCACTGCAAATATATTTTCCTGGAATGATTCATGCCCTGTTTAAATATTGTATTTTTACAGTCGACCCCTGTATAACACTGTTGATAATTCCGTTTTATATCAATTCCATGTTGTACGATCACTTAAGATTTTACAAATACGTGTGCCGGGCTGTGAATGGCACACGTATTTGTTTCATTCGATACTCTGAGTAAATAAGTTTTTTCATAAGTAACCGGATAATTCCCGTGTAAAAATATACAACGATTTTGAATTCTTT